GAGTTGAGATGAAGATGAACGAGGACGTGATGCGCGATTAGAAGAAGAGGGGGAGGTGGGATGAGAGAACCAGTTGGGCTATGAAAGCCCCACACGCGTACCAGACACAGCCCGTGATTTGCTTGCGTCCTTTCCCATTTTTTTGGTAGCGTTCGAAGATTCGCTGGATACCACCTGCGTAGATCCAACTTGATACGGTCCATTAATCTTAGGTGTTCCGTGGGTCGTCCGTTAGTGAGAACGCATGAATCATTACGGTAAGCTACTTTCTCTACATCGACCCAAATCCTAAAAGCTTCCCATCTGCGGGACGGAGCGAAACTCTCCCAACTAACAGTCCCGGGACTTCTTGGAGCATTCCCTGATTAGAACCGCTTCCCAGGCTCTTATAAAGCTCTCCAGATTTGTGATTCAGGCTTGGGGTCCTGAAGCCCTTGGGATGACCGATTTCCCATTTAGTCTGGGTAAAATAAGAGCAACTCTACTAAAAAAACCTAATACGAGTAAAAATGATAACAATATGAAGTAAATATTAAAGAACAAAAGAACAAAATGGACAGGGTTAGAGATCACTTGAAGATGCGCCATGCCTTTGATTTTCACCTCAAACCATGATAGTAGTGCTAAGAAACGGCAGCCGTTTCATGTAGGACGTAGGAGAGAGATTTATTGGGTTAACACCTTGAACTAGTTTTTAAGCGTTGGTTCGCCAGACAAAGTGGAGGCCAATCGCCCGTTTACTGAAGAAAAAGAGTCCCACTTCTTGTCGTGAACTTCGTAGGACAAAAGTCGTTCTCTACACTAAGGTTATAAGAATAAAAAAGTAAATAGTAAACAAGTAAACAGACAGCGAAAGTTGTGTGAGTTGAGGTAAGATAGATAGAGTGATGTGTAGATAGATTAATATAATACATACGAGAAAAACGTGAATTAGATAAGCGGTTTGAAGAGCAATATTGGATTACAGACAGCAAGCAGGTACTGTAATCGAACATAACCATACCATATATTTAATTGTTAAGAGTAATTCGCTAAAATCCGTTCTAATTGAGGGCTCCTAGGTAGGGTGAGCTCGAAAAGTTGTTCCCCAGAACTAAAATTCTTTCATCCATCATCTGGTATTGACGTTAGATTTGGATGTCCGGGTAAAACCGTTGACTTAGTACGTCGACCGGCCCACAAAGGTCATTGTTTTGGCAAATGTGCACTAAGATTTTAGGTGAGAGTCAAGTACGTGGCGCATCCCGAATACAACCGATAAACGTCAAGAACTTCATCCCTTGGGCTAACTTAGCCTTTGGGCCTGTTTCATGCATCCATCAGACACCAAGCTTCCCCGAAAGACCCAAGCGATCCTGTTTAAAGTGTCCACTATTGAGGATCTGCTTCCATTCAGGGACAAAGGAACCCGCTTGTACGGGTTCGGCCCTGTCCAACAGTTTTTTTTGGTTTTAAACTCTCAAAAGCGTTGATGAATTCAAAAAATCCAAAAGGTTCCAAGAAAAAGGTACAACTGACTATAAACAGACAAAAATTGAAAGAAAATGAAAAAGTTCTGACCTGAGCTGAGATCGAATCTGAGATGATCCTCGAATCGAGGATGTCCCCTTCGGGTAAAGTGACGACTACCGTGAACAGATGGCGAGATTCCGCTGTATCCTCCTCCTGTTCTGTGGAATCTGACCAGGTGTGGGGAGGTGAGAGCGAATAGCCATCAAGTCGCGATGTTCTTCGACTCTGAAACTAGCCTTTTTTAGGGGTCCCAGTAGCTCTGCCTTGTTTTCATCCTTGATTCAATTTCATCCATTTCATCTTTCGTTCTTTCTTCACCTACGTTTCAAATCCTCCCATCGCTACCTAAGGGATTCTCTTTGGTTTTTGACACACGCTCACTTACCCTTCTTCCCCCTTTCGTTCTCTAACCCTTGGCCTTCACAAATTAACGTCAGCGAAAATGGCAAGGTTATCACTATCAAAGTCAATGTCAACTAAATCCCGTCTAATAAGATTCAAGGATTTTGTGGCAGAAAAGGACGAAGCAACCGTGGTAGCACAGAGATCGGACTTGATGTCATTGAGACAAGAAATAAAGATACAAAGAAAGTAATTAGATTGGGTAAAACATGAAGTTCAAAAGGAGGGAAACGGAAAAGTAGGTTTGCTTCCGTTTCGCACGTGCCCTCAGACGGAGGCTAGACTTGAAAATTCTCTCCCTCCGTGCTTTCCGGTAAGGAAGAGGGTAAAACTCATCGAAAAGCATAGTGGATAAAAAGGAATAAGAAATGTAAACTGTCAGTAATAAAATGATCAAGAAACTGCCAAGATAAGTTCAAGAGAATAAAAAGTAAAATTCTTAAGAAAGAGCAAAAATTACTAACCTCTTGAACATTACTTGTTAAATTTTCTGTAGTGCTTTCTACTTGATGCGATGATTGATTTGGAGCCGCAGATGTCATCGGCGGAGGCGACTGAAATTCATCAAGTAATTGCTGAACGATCGGTGACTTTGAGAAATCACAAAATCGAGGAAATATCGAAGAACTGTAAGCCGAGAGACTTCCCCAAATGAAGCAGTTATAAATGCTAAAACTCCTACTATTTGACTACTATAAACAGTGATAGGAAAGTATAAACATGATTGTCAATGAAGGTCAACGTATTCAAATAAGGTTAGCGAACTCGCGTACGTCCTAGTACGATGGGACGAGACAGTTTCGCCCGGGTGTCGCTATGAATGAACTGTGCATAGGCGAGCGAGACTGAGAACGAAGAAACGACGACGGTTGATTTGGGTGAGGGGAGAACGGAATTCGTAAAGCGCTACGGCTGGGTGTGTGTATGTGTGGGTGATCGCCTTTGAGAGCTGGACTTCAGGAGAAACAGAGAGAGACAAAGAACGACATTCAACGGAGCCAGCCAGACCGGGGAGAACAAGGACGGGAGGATCAGGCCCCCGAAATAGCCGCCTGTTGCTGGCTGTGTTGCTGCTGAACAAACAGGTCCTACATATTGTTTCATCGTTTTGTGAAAAGCTTTTCACATCAGGTACCCGGTACTTTGCTTATTACTGCATGATTTGGGCGGCTGTTCTTGGAGGGCTGTGATAATAGGGGGCTCTTTAAGGGTACGATCACTTCGGACATTCCAAATACGAGCGGCCGATATCGGTTAGTAATATCCTTCGAAGTGGGAAATCCCTAGGTAACTTCATAGTTCAATCTTGTGAGGCTCGAAAGATGGTGTGGTTATCAGAAAGGCTCGAGATAAATGAGGTCTACGTAAAGGTGACTGAGTGGGAATGACGGGATGAAGCTACTGGGAGAGTGTGTAGATGACTCGTGGAACCTTTGCGATCAGGACGATGCTGGCGCCGGACATGCGAGTCGACTGACCAACCAGCTGGAGAGAGCATGCCGCTCGTGCAGGTTGCGCAAAACTCGGCCAGAGAGTGCGTAAGTGATGAGAGTTGTTGTTGCGACACACGAGAGACGTCACTGGCTGCGGACAGCGCGGACGAGTTCCCCGTAGAGAGCATAGCAGGCGAGGAGCGCCAAAGGCGGGGTGAGTTGCAGAGAACTGGCGGCGGGGGAAGAGACTGGTGATGATCGTGGTGCCTAGCACGGGTGTCGCGTGGGTCAGTGTACGGGGTTTCGAATAGGGGCGGTCCGGGTGGTACGCGAAGAGAGCTGCGCGTTCTCTCGTCGCGCGACCAGCGTGCTAAGTACCGAATCCGTCTCGCTACCCATCCAATATACACACAGACTCATACACGCTCATATGTATACGTGCACGTACCAACCGGACACGGCTCGAGGTGCGTGAAAAAATCCCCAGTCCTGGTAACAATCCCGGTACTGCCGGCTGATCTGGGGTTGAAGACAGCCTTGACAGGATTGCTATATTTCCACAGGATAAGGAAAGAAGAGCTAACGACTCTGAAACGTGCTGGGTGATAAACTGAAAGGGTGGAGTCATTCAGTTGTGTTGAAAATCGAAGAAAAACCTCATTCGTATCATCACGGAAGTTTCATTACGGAGAGAAATTTAATTGAAAAAGCTCCTCCAATGAAATGTAGCCATCCCTTCTCTTGCTAACTTCTCTTGAGTGCACTTTGGACGCAAAATCTTATGAAGAAATCGGAATGAACTGTTAATTCTTCCCAGGATAATGT